CAGCAGTGATATGCAGGAAGTCTTTCACACACTAAAGGAGGCTGCTCTGTGAAACCAAGCAGCAGTTTAAAAATGAAGCCGGTGCTGAAGTGTAAAATCCTGCAGTTCCTTGAGTGTCCACTAGAGGCTGGCTGCAGAAGCACAGGAAGTCACATACACACCCATTCTAAAAAGCCTGTTTTTACAGCAGAGATGAACATGTTTACAGCCTGGTTCAAAAAACCAAATAGGTGTGATTAGCTCATGTCTGGATGGACACACACTGTACGGGGGGTGAATGTTTTGATGACTCATCAGTTTTGATTTGATGAAGGATAAGAGTTATTCACAATAAGGCGTGTAGCTGACCTGATTGACAGGTGGGCGCGGTGTAACGGTTTGTCAGGAGGTTTAAAACCCGCCTCAGCTCCAGCTCTCAGCCTGTCGTTAGGTTGACTGAAAGTTAGACTGAGACAGCATTTCCAGCATGGAGACCGCCATCGATGGGACTCTAGCGCCCCCTGCAGGAACAGATAGGGGACGTCACTCAGGCTTCAAACATTCAGATTTACAGTCTGTGAGTTAAAACAGGAAGTAGACCAACACATCAAGACAATAAATACAACAAATATAAACATCTTTACACTCGCTGGTTACATGACGTGATAATAGACTAACTGCTCCTTAATGTTCTAATACACTCTCCTTGTTTAGGGAGTAAACCAGGTGGAGGTCTGACCTTAACCATCACATTGAAGCTGTTATAACAAATCATGTAATCCTGCACGATTACGATGATTTACACCTCGTCCTCCTCCTTTGACTTAAAGCACGGCGCTGCAGAGGTTAGCGCCTCACAGCGAGGAGGATTCAGACAGGAGCCTTTCTGTGTGGTCGCCAGCCAATCACACGCTCATCAAGTCTTGAGAATCATTTTAAAAGTCAGGGTCGGTCATTTCCTCCAGATCCACTTTTTAAGATTTTGTTGTAAATTGTCTTTAGGTCCTGACAGAAATGAATAACTCATGTTCTCTGAAAAAGGAACAAAGAAAATCCATCATCTGTATCAGTTTGTAATTCTGTTAAAACTTTGACCAATGTCTGCGACGAGGTATCAATCTGATGATCCAATCAGACGCCTCCCTGTCTCCCTGCTCCCTCTCTACACTCAAAGCTCGTCACCGATGACTTTAGGAGTTTATACTGAGAGTTTACTGACCGCTGAATGAGACATGAGACGACGTAGTTTCTACACAATGACAGAGATGAGCTGAGGTCCACTTCTGGAGAGACAACGCCCGATGTAAGTGAGGGGCGTGGCTTCAGAGGGAGCACAGAGGGGGGAGACCAAAATATCCAACATGTCAGAGATTCATCCGACTGAAATGTGTCCAGATTTCAAACATGGCGTCTAAATGGGCCTGACCTCGTACTGCTCATGCTTTTGCTTCTGACACTGAGTGTCTTTTCTTTTACAGGAAACCATGACGACCAAGTTTGAGATGTCCAAGATGGAGTGAAGGAGGAGAGGAGGAGTGGAGGAAACAGGAAGCAGGAGATGAGGAGTGAAGGAAACAGGAGAGATTGAAGAACAGAGATATTTTAACAGATTAAAGTGAAGAGTTGGAGAGAAGAGGAGGAGAGAAGAGGAGGAGAGGAGAGGAGGAGAGAAGAGGAGGAGAGGAGAGGAGCGATGGAGGAGCGATGGAGGAGAGAGGGAGTCCAGGTGGAGGTGTGTGATGACATCACTGACTTTATGAGCTTTATGACTGTTCACACACTGGGAGTGAAATCGATCGCCTGTCTGTATTTATATTTCTATACACACAGAATATTTTGACAGACTCGATGTTCTCGGCCTCGGAGCGGCTCCTTTTTGCCTTTTCTTTGTTTACATGTTGACGTGTGATGTTTTCAGGTTTTTTCTCATCATCTGACTCGTTTGTGTTTTCACTGTCGCCATGGCAACAGCAGCAGCAGCACTCGCTCACTTGTTGTCCCGGCTGCTCGTGGTTCTTTTACTTCCTGCTGTTGACCTTTGAAACTTTAACATCCAAAGTTTGAGACGATCGGTGAGGAGGAAGATTTATTTTGTGAGCACGTATTTTTTTTAAAATTGTTTTGTTTCCGTCTTAAAATGTTTCAGAAAGTTTCCGCATCATGTGGACGGACTGGATGAACCTGCTGAGTTAGCACTTAAAACATGTTGATGCACTTGATGAAAAACTCCATTTAAATGTCCCTGTGGATGTTGATGTGCTGTCACACAAAGCTGAGGGGGCGGGGCATCATTTACTCCAGTGGTGCTCAGCTGGCCTAGCCTCAGGACCCAGAGACCCAAATTTCAGATATTTTTCCACCAGTTAGATTTATTTTTTATTTTTTTTTAAAGTGGAGATTTGGATAAACGATAAGACAAAAATAAAGAATAAAACAAACAAGTTTTAAAAAGCTCTTTGTACCCTTTTTGAAAAACGACCCACTTTGGGGTCCCGACCCACCAGTTGAGCACCACTGATGTAGTCCATCTCGGTGTGAGCAAATCTGTTCAGATTGAGTTTGACAGAATTCATCAACAGTTGGGTCAGAGCTGTTTTTTTTGGATTCCTTCAGAAGTCTTCAGTAAGAATCTATATTTGAATAAATGATCCAGCATCTACTGTGTGTGCAGAAACAAAACGTCTGACGTGTCCTGAAGGTCGAGGTCTGCAGGTGAAGGTCAATAAACACATTTTTACAAGACGGTTTTGTTGTTTTTTTAAAAAGTGAGACGACGAGGAAGAAGAATCCAAGAAGAATCCAAGAACACTCATCTCATCATGACGTCACTGAAACAGAACAAAGTCACTGCAGCTTTTTTATTCACTTTATCACACACACACGCGCACACATTTACACTTATTGTATCTGCACACACAAACCCACATTAATGCATTTGATTTGTCTTTTGTCTGGACATTCCAGAAAGCGTCATTGATATATAATTAACTGTAAATGGGCATATTAGCCCTTTATGTAGTCGGCAGTCATATTTCTTGGCTCTGTGTGTGTGTGTGTGTGTGTGTGTGTGTGTGTGTGTGTGTGTGTGTGTGTGTGTGTGTGTGTGTGTGTGTGTGTGTGTGTGTGTGTGTGTGTGTGTGTGTGTGTGTGTGTGTGTGTGTGTGTGTGTGTGTGTGTGTGTGTGTGTGTGTGTGTGTGTGTGTGTGTGTGTGTGTGTGTGTGTGTGTGTGTGTGTGTGTGTGTGTGTGTGTGTGTGTGTGTGTGTGTGTGTGTGTGTGTGTGTGTGTGTGTGTGTGTGTGTTGTGTGTGTGTGTGTGTGGTGTGTGTGTGTGTGTGTGTGTGTGTGTGTGTGTGTGTGTGTGTGGTGTGTGTGTGTGTGTGTGTGTGTGTGTGTGTGTGTGTGTGATTTTGATGTAGTAGACTCACTTTTGAATTTGTCCTCCAGTGGCCACTGGAAGAACTGCACTGAGATATGGTCTAGTAGTGCAGTGATCATCAACTGGCAGCCCGTGGGCCACATCCGGCCCCCCAAAAGCTTCCCATTTGGCCCTCACAATAAAACACATTGCAGAAAATGTTAGAAGATAAAAACATGTCGTGGCATTTAAAGTCTTAATATGTGATTTTTTCACACTTAAATGTATAAATCAAGTTTATCCTCTGAAAATAACTCTGAGTCATGACTGTCTACAATGGGTGTAACACCCGAGTCCCACTGTCTGTGATGTTTTCAGAGTTTTCAGAGTCCTATCTTCACTTTGTTTACATCGCCTGGACGGCCGGCTGACTCCTCCCCTCGTGTATAAAAGTTGTTTAATTGAGGGACTAGAGAAAAGAAGAATAACATACTGTACTCACTGCTTAACTGTGTTTCTAGATCACCCTCATTTCAGGTAAATTTACATGCAGCGTGAAGATACCAGCATAATAAAGATCGCTAGCATTAGCATGCTAACACAACAATGTAGCGCAAGTTGTTTTGGTTTCATGCTGGTGCTCAAGGGCGACATCTGCTGGATCAAAACATCACTTATAAAGCCTTTAAGGTAAAGCTGTAAAAGCAACCTGGAACAGTTTAACATAAATATCTCTGCACATCAAATAAAATGTAAAGGAGCCCAGACATCATGTGTTAGCATATTTTAAAGTCCGGCCCCCTCACAGTGAGCTGTGCCTTTCCAAAGTTAGTTGAGGACCACTGGTCGAGTGTAAAAAGACTTAAAGGAGTTTTAGAAGTCTTAATTTGTCCACTACTGAAGACACCACTTAACCGTGCCAGTTTTACATTTTGCGTTCTGGTCCTGGTCTCAGGTCTAACATCCCCCTCTGAGCCCGGAGCGTCCTCAGACCTGACCCCGAATCCTCCGCCTGCAGAGAGTCTAATTTGATCTAATGATAGCAGCTGCAGCCTCCATGTCAGCGTCAGTCCCTCGGCCTCCGTGCTGCTGAACTCCTCACACCTTGAAATAAATATATTGTTGGATGAAGACGTTGAAGACAGACGCACGTGCAGGTGTGAGCGCTAATATTCAACAGCCGGCTCTCTGTTTGCGTTATAATCCGGAGCTTGTAATCCATCTGTTCTGCCTGCTTCCACGTCTTTGACCTCGACTGTAACCTCATTACAGACAGATCTAAAGACGACTGTATCGTTATGAATCTGTCGTTTTCTCCATCTGCTGTTTTCAGATCAGTGACGTCACTCACTGCTCATTTACACGCCGCTCATCAGAGTCATTACTGACACCATTTAGCTCCCTGCTTAGTCTGTTAAAACCACCTCACATTGTTTCTGTGTGTGTGTGTGTGTGTGTGTGTGTGTGTGTGTGTGCAGATACTGTACTCTCCGGCATTATGGCTGTAATAACATAATCCCAGAGATTTGTCCCCGACAGAAAAGACAGTATGCTGCCGATTTCAACTGACAGTAGGGAATTATCATCCGCGCACTTCACAGACGGCTAGACGTGTGTTGTTATTACTGCTGACTGTGAGGCTCAACATGTGGCCCGGCAGCCCTCTGAGGGACGCTGACAGTGTTAGGTTAAGTTTAGGGTCATGTGGAAGTTCAGACGGGGACAGATTTAAACTTCATAAAGGCCGTCTTTTAAAAAATATTTTAATTAGAGGAAAAGGGGAAGTCGAAATCTGCGTTATTATTTTCAAAATAAAAGCGTTATTTTTTAAGTTCTTCACACCTGAGTGTACGACAGCTGGGTTGGAGCACGCTGTCTGACATGTTTATTAGACCGTACATTATTCAGTCAAACCGACCTTCAGCAGGACACGCCCCCTAAACACAAGATGAGGATTTTTCAGTGATATGGTCTTGGTCTCGATCCATAAATGTCTCGGTCTTGTTCTCGCCCTGCCTTGGTCTTGATTCAGTCTTGTTCCCTACTTGTCTCGGTTTCGGAGCACTCTGGTCTTTTTCTACCTGCCTACAGCGAGCGAGCGAGCAGGTTAGCGTCCTCCTCTGAGCGAGGCCTCTGTCGAGATGCCTCGTACCTGTTGGCCTGACGGGGTCAGTCACCTGTGTGTGTCAGATATCCTCTCCACATTTATTAACATTTCTTTATATGTTAAAGTTTAAATGTGTCAGTTTATATCGACATGTCTTTACAGACGTATCGTCTCCTGGCGCTCTTATGACCTCATCCTGATATAAATGACCTTTCCCTGAGCCGTTTGACTCAAATCCTGTTTTTTCACTGCAGGTTTATAAACATGAATATAAATATAATTTATCCTGTTGATCCTCTGCAGACCTCTCAGATACACCTGGCCATTTAACTATCCATTTTCCCATTTTTCTGCTGCATGGTGTTTCAAACATTTAAAGATCACATATTTAAAATATCATATTTAAATGTTCCTCTAACTCTAACATGTGTCTCTAGTCCGTCTACAAACCCCCCAATGATGACAAAAGTTCATCCTCTCCGTCTTCTGCCTGCTCCACTTTTCAGAAAATGTGTGCTCAAACAGGCCGTTTGGAGATTTTCCCTTCATGACATCACAAAGGGCAGTAGCCCCTCCCCCAGGTGGGTGACACTCCCACAGCTAGGTGTTTGTTCTGCCTTCTCACTGTAAACAATAGGACATGGAGCAGAAAGACTGAGTACACCAAGCCCTTCAGAGAGGGGGGCGTGGGTCAGACACAGCTCATTTACATATTTAACAGGTACAGACACAGAAACAGCCTGTTCTGAGCAGGGCTAATAGAGGGGTTTTAGACATGATCAAATACTGGATCAGAGTGGATTTAGGACAAGAAACTTCACACATGTTTTGAGGAGCTCTGAGACTTATTTACACTGAAGAAGAGGAGGAGGATATGTGACCTTTAATTTTTACCTTTAAGTCGAATATTTGACTAA